GTCAGCTGAATTTTAGCCATTTATATGTTTCAGAGTTCCATTGGTTCTGGCAGCTGTCTTGAATTGGAATGAATGCAAAAGTAAATGTAAATCTGATTATTACTTTCTGAGTTTCATTCAAATCATYATATATATTTTATTCAGCCTGCTACTGTAAGAGATAAAACAGAACGTTTTAATTCTTTATTGATTGCACTTTTTCTCTTTTTAGTTGTTTGCATGGATGTAGCTTACTGTATTTTTGTTGTTGCATCATTTTAATCTGTTACATGTATCATGTATGACAGTGAATGATACTCCAAGCTTTTGATCCCTATCATCTATTGTTGTTTATTTATTTTCTCATCCTCTCAATTTCCCTTCCTGCTTCCCTGTCTCCGTTGGTCTCTCTAAACATGTGAAGTGTTTTTAACCAGGAAAATCCCTCTTACATCTCAGGTCTTTTTTTTCCGAAGGCCTGAGCTTGAAGGCAGCATCCTTCTGGATCATCGGCCCAAACCTGAGAAAATCCAGACAAACACAAAAGTTCTCTATTAACTCCTAAGTTTTTATTATCATTACTAGCCTTATTTTTCATCAAATTTTTAATGTTGCTATGATAACAACAAAAGTTTCAGGTAGAAGTTTAACAAGTCCTCGTTGTGTATGCCTTGACCAGAAGTTGATTTTAGTTTGGCTTCATCTGTTTCTGTTTAAGATGTGGTCCTGGTGGTGTCATCGTGCCGTGACCTTTAGCTCTCACTGGAGCACATGCAGTTGAAATCATGGATACAGGTGGTCCAAATAAGTTTTCTCAGCAGAGTAGCCTTGGAATCCAGAAGCTCTTACAGTGCTATCCYGGTATAAATGAGTTTCCCCCATCAGCTCATCCAAACTAAACCTTTATTTTTTTTATCACAATCATAATAATGTGTTCAGTCTCTATCGTACTCCCAAAAGACAAGATGATGGGAAAGTAATTTTGTTCATGCAGCTTATACTAACTTGTTGCGCTTTAAAATCTCAGATGTTGATATTTTTATGACTTGCACATGGATGTTTGTGGTAAATAGTGTTGACACTTGAAAGTTCACATCTGTGCTCAAAACTACCACACAAAGTTCAACTATCTCCGTTATTTAAACCATAAACACTGAGGAGCACTCCTACTCAGGCATCTGTATATCCATCAATTCAAATCTAGTGTGTGGGTTTGAGTTGAGCAGCTGACTTCTTGTAGAATGAAAAAAAAACACATTAATTAGACCCTGATCATATCTTCAAAGGACAACTGGCCTTCTTCATGTCTTAGACGTTACAGTTTTCAGTCTACACTGCATTACACTCATTGAGATGTTCTGAAGACAAGGAAATGATTTGGCTGTAAAGTGTATCAGATAGTAATGTCACCAGACACTGACCCCTGAGGTCACCAGGCTGCTCCTGTGCACCAAACAGGGATTTCCCCAAATTTGCTTCCCTCAACAGGATCCATCCATAGCTATATAAGACGTAACATAGATAAACTGATAACACACAATAAGCAGCAAAATACCCATCAGGTTCTTCACAGGATTCACCATTGCTTTGCAAGTCTTTATTAGGATTCTGAAAATCCATCTACTTCACAAGACAAAGTGAGCTCAAACCTCGCTGCTTCTTTTGCACTGGGGCATTGTTTCCATACAGTGGTTTGCAAAAGTATTCATACCCCTTGAACTTTTCCATATTTTGTCACATTACAACCACAAACATAAATAT